CCCAGTTCCCTCAGCCGCTCCTCATAAGACTTGTTCTCCAGACCCCTCACCAGCCTCATTGCCCTTCTCTGGACACGCTCTAACACTTCGACGTCCTTTTTGTAGTGAGGGGCCCAAAACTGAACACAGTATTCGAGGTGCGGCCTCACCAGTGCCGAGTACAGGGGCACGATCACTTCCCTGCTCCTGCTGGCCACACTATTTCTGATACAGGCCAGGATGCCATTGGCCTTCTTGGCTGCCTGGGCACACTGCCGGCTCATGTTCAGCCGGCTGTCGACCAACACCCCCAGGTCCTTCTCAAAATGCTACATATCTATCAGTCGTTAGTGATGGCAATGAGAGCAGCTAAGTTCTTTATACATTTAAAAATGAACCTTTTTGAAATGTATATATGTCAAAAAGGGTATATAAATAGCAGTAACCTAAAAAAGTAGTCTCTGTTGTCTACATTAAAGAAGGTTGTGGAAAAAATATATCGGAGGTAGACTACAAAAATGAGTTGGAACTTGGAAAACAAGATACATGACTGTTGAGTCTCATTCTTCAGGAGCTTTCTCTGGTCTTTTCAGGGTCTGGATGACTATTCTCTAATACACAGTTGGCTCTATGCACTTTTTGATTGTTTATTTTCTCTATCTGCCTCTGAAATATCAGAGATTGTCCATTGTTTGGTCTCCAGCTGTGGCTGGGATGGACGAATGCTTTGAAAGAGTACAAAGGATCTTGGGGTTTTTTTCCTTACATGATCAGGATGATGTTAATCATCAGATTTGTGGTCAGGAAGGATTTTTGCATTGGATCATGTTGGCACAATTTTGGCAACTTTGCCCTTTCACTGCAACAAAGGATGTGCTGCTTCTGAGATCATCCTACTACTAATCACTTTTCTTTTGTTACAGGGGCTTTTTTACGTTGGTGGCATCTTAAACTGTCCCATCTTGTACTACACAGCTTTCTCTTACTGGGGATTGAAATGATATAGTCCAGCTGGTCTTTGGATTTGGTGTAGGGTATAGGGTAAAACTTAAACATCTGTGATATAGACAAATTCAGGTTAGATAAATCTAAAGCTGACTTCTGCTGCTTTTTACTTTTAAATATTAGCCTAAGTAAGATTACCAGTGGATTACTCTGAAAACTAACCTGTTTTGATGTGTGAATGACACTTTCTTGGTATAACTAACTCATAGCACAGCACAGAACTTTTTTTAGTGACATAGTGACAGTTCATAGTTTCCTTTTTCTCCAAAGTCAGCTTGTTCTGATTGTGCAAGATCCTCTTTCTCATACAAAAGTTTTGTCCTCTGTAGAAAAAAGTCATGGTGCAATTAGGTTTAACTTGTAATTTAAATATTTTGTCATTGCCCTTATTAAACACATATGGCTTCCATGAACTCGTTCTACAATTTGTGCAATTTTGGTAGCATATTTTACTGTTTCAAAGACTATTATTTTGTTTTTCTCTTTCCTTTGAAGATATTACAGCTGTTTTTTTCAGCTCAGATTGTTTTGCACTTTTTGTCTCTTATAAAACAGGATTTCATGGCCGACGCAACACAGAAGGGACGCTGTGACACCGTTTTCAACTTAATGAAAAGAGGCTGCCAGTCAGATTTTGTAGAAAATCCCACAGTTCATGTCACAATACCCAGTGACCATGAAACAAATACACAAGTGACACCAGGAAAAGTTTCAGTCCAACTGCGTCCAGGTTGGGTTGTCTCTAACACATTGATATTACAGTCAATTTAAACTAAATACAATAATATTAAGTACAAATATTTTGTGAAGAAGTGGCTAGAATAATTATTTTGAAGAATGATGCTATAACATTATATTGTAGGACTATGATGGTGTTGCTCCCATATTCAAGTATGGTCTTCAGCAAGAAGTGTTTCTGTCAAACACAGCTGAACATCAGAATAATGCAAGTAATAAGTGGAAAAGGGATTTTAGGTGGTCTTTTCTGTTGTGGTTTCTTGATTCTTTTTCTTTAGCCACTTACACAAAGAGTTTTCCCTTACATGTGTATAAACTGTATTCCTCACTGAAAGTAAATTGGGTTAGAATTCCTAAATTCATCATTTGATAAGCTTCTTGATTATTTGGTTACTTTTAAGTGCATTGATTAGACAACTATGAAGACACCAGAGCCAATATATAGGAAAGGACTGGATTCCTAAAGGAGACTTAGGTATTCACTGCCTAACATTTCATTTATAAAATGTGAGACACCTGGCCCTAATAGAATCTGCAAGTCCCTTTACGGATCTGAGATTTTATAGTATATCTCTATTTGCCCTCAGCTGAACTCGAGTTAAATCAATGTTACGTTCTCTAAAAGAGCTGTGGCCAAAAGCAGAAATGGAAGGTGATATAAAGGGATGCAGGGTATGTTTCGTATCATAAAATTTAATGTATTTATTTCTTTTGCAAACGACAGTTGGAGAAAGAAATATGTCATTTAAGAGGGATCAATCTTTTGTAGAAAAACATTAAGAAAATAGGAAAAGTCTGAGTTATCATAGTATCTTGCTGATCTTCACTGTATAAAAGATAATTTTCTGTCAATTACAAGGGAAAAAGGAAGGATCTGCATGAGTGTAAAGCACAAAGGAACTCCGGTTTTCCATCTTTATAATAATAAAACTAAGAAAGTAACATTAGCACTTCCTCTCCTTTCCCCACTCTCCTTCCAAAGAAATGACTGATACTCTGCTTTGTACTGAGAAATGGTCTCAGGAACTGAGCTAGCTCTAGAAGTGTCTGTAATCACATTTATTTCCAAAGGCATACTGGATCCATAGAAAATACTTAGCTTTCTAAAATTTGGTTTAATGAATCTTTTTGCCAGTAAGTAGTGAAATTAAGTTTGGGGCTCCATATCCTTTGCTGAAGCTCTTGCATCAGGGAGGCAGAAGGCTGAAATTCGGAGGACTCCAAAAGAATAACTTTTGATATACAGACATCCTGCCCTTGGTTTATTCCCCAGGGAAATACACAGATATTCAGCTATAGTTGTGCCTCAAAAAAGAAATTTGATACAGTATAATCATGCAGACAAAGATGGTTTTGTTTTGATACTGGGTTTTTTTTATCACTGTTTACATATACCCAACTGTCAGGATTTATGTGGGAAAAAATAAAAGCTGGACTCAGCATCTCGCTATATGCAAACTGGAGACCTGCAAGGGTCATTTACAAAAAGTAATTTGATTTACATTGGCAAAGAGGAAACGCATAAGTTACAACACACTGAAATTCTGTTTTCTTCATGCAAGACCTGATACAGACAAATCCTGAAATTTTCAGGTGGATTATGTTCAAAGACCATTGGAAGAAAGTACTTTGCATGTTTAACTTCTCTGGGTCAGATCTTTGTTACATGTACTTTAATTATGCTCTCTTGCAATGTCATATGCACTAGTAAATGTCATGAATAGATAAGTCAAATTTCAGGTGGTTTTTTTAGTGAATCTGTTTCTGACTGTGTTTAGATAGCTTTTACTGAAAACCTGCATAATTCTTCTATAATGTCTCCCTTCCTCCTGTCTTTTGCTGTATCTTCATTGCATGATGCTGAATTACATTCTGCACTCATCACGTGAAGATCCTACTCCCTTATTTCTTCTGTGAGCTCACACTTTGGGTGAACAATTTGAAGTCATGCATTACTGTACCTATGTTGCCCATACTCCAGTCACTTCACTCTTTTTGCTGGCATTACAGAATATTAGGCAAGCAAAAATGTGGGGACTATTTTTAGTGGCTTCCAAAGCATTCACGTTTTTATTACATATGAGAGTGTGATGTGGTTCTGCAGGAGAGACAGAAATTTATCATCCTGAAATAAGAGAAAAGTTCTATTTTGTATACACCAAAAGATGGATTTTTTTCAATAGTAAAACCTCTTTTTTAAAAAAATATTTTGATCCTACTGAGTTTTCTCATCGTATCTTTGGAAGTAGATTGGTATAAACTTGAAGCATAATTGACGTGAGTTTTTCAGGCTGTGCTGTCTTTATGGTACACGTGTAGTCTTAAACTCATGACAAATTATTTGCAGGACGTGTGTCAACCTTGAAGTGACTGACCACGATTTGTATGCAGATCTGTGTCCTTTGTGAGTCATAACTGCTTTTTGGTGCAATGCCAAAGGGATTGCATAACCAGGAATTTAAAAGAAAATGGGGAGAAGTCAGATTTTTACAATAAATTGCACAGTGCTCCTGCAAGAAAAAAAAAGCAAGATGTTCTACAAAGAGCCCCTTTATGGCTTATTTTTGAACGATGCTTCAAAGTTTCATTTACTCTTGGGAGGTTTTCTTGTTTGTTTGTTTTCTATTTGCTGATACAAACAACTTTGTGCTGAGGTTGCTGCAAAAATAAATGTATTTTTAAGAGAGTCCATTCAAAAATAGTAAATAAACTTATTTGTTTCCTTTGGATCAGGAAGTGAAGCAAACTTTATGTTAAAAGTTCGTCCTCTAGAGAAATACCCTGTGGATCTTTATTATTTGGTTGATGTCTCAGCCTCTATGCACAACAATATAGAAAAACTAAATTCCGTTGGATTTGCTTTATCTAAAAAGATGGCGAATATTTCTCTTGATTTTCGACTTGGATTTGGATCCTATGTGGATAAAACTGTGTCACCCTATATTAGCATTCATCCAGGTAGAATCCATAACCAATGCAGGTATGTAGTCTTTGTATATTTACTGTAACACTGAGAAATTATTTAATTACACAAATATGCATTATGCATATTTATTTTTAAAGCTCTTCAGACTCTGTCTTTGTTTCATTATACTGTGGTTCTCCAGCAAAGTTCCTAAGAAAATGCTGAAAATTATTATACAATGAATACTTCTGAAATATCTGACAAGTGATTTCAGAAAAACTGTTTCTGTATCAGAAAAAATGTGCAATATTTTCTTTAGCAAAATAAGCCAAACAGCATGCTGCTTTGGTATATTTGAATATGTTTTGCATTGAATTTTATAGTCAACTGTTGTGTTCTTAGTTATTTTGGATATATGTTCCCTAGATTCATCACAAAGTTTTCTACTTTTTGACCTAGGACTTCTCTTCTGGTGTATGGTTGTGTATTCATTAATTCTTTTCATAAAACTCTACTTTTGTTGATGTGATGCAGCTCATTTAATGAACAAAGGCGATCCTCTGATCTAATTTCACAGCTGTAATATGAATGAACTCCCATTTTAAATAAGAAAGGTGTTCTGGCTTGCATTTCTTTTTCCTTGCCATGTCTTTTATACCTTGTGTTCAACACTTACGTAAAGCGAGGGATCACTTCCAAAACCTTCTGGAGAACAAGATTATTCATAATCAATTCAAGTCTGTATAAACTGTAATACCTGGAAAAGTGAATATTAACTATTCATACCTTCTTGCTCATTATTATCTTTCCTGGGAAGACATGACCTAAAGTTCCGTGAAGTCCATAGGTATCTTTTTTGATTTCAGTGATTTTTGAATTGGGCACTAGTAGTGGAATTCATTAGATAGATATAAATGTCGATGTCTGAAGTAGTCCTCTAGACTGTCTATATAGTCAGTGGAGATCAGTTAGCACTGCCAGGACACGATTCATTTTGCCTAAAAGTAGACGTCTGCAGAGGTATTAATCCTTACAGTGCCAGTTTCTCTTCATTGGCTGTAAATTGAGTCAGGGGCAGGCACGTTATAGTCCAGATGTCTACACTGTATGCAATGGAAGGTAAGTGAGACGAAACCTGCTCAGCATCTCTGAATCAGCTGAGCACCTCAGCTTGTGCCGTAAATTCCACTGCCCTAAATGGGTCGCAGAGCAGCGACCTGCACAAGTGCTATGGCATTAGCTTACTTATGTCAGACTTCATCCTTTCTCCCCTTATATATAATTTCAAAAAGTATCATTTACAACTAAGATGATACAGTAAATGGAGTTTCCCATCCATTTAATGACGTAACTGTCACTAGTCTCAACATCAGTTTTATGTACCTTTACTTACTAATAGTGGATGTAGGAACTTAAATTTTATTTTAGTTTTGATCCAGTAGCCCGTGTATCGAGCTATTAAAGGATCTTAATGTTGCAGGGTAATAGCCCTTTCCTCAGGATAATGAAAAGCAAAGCTGTACCGCTCCGTTGATGTTCCAAAAGGGATGATATACTCTCTGAGATCATACCATCACTCACATCATGTTTCTTCTTGTTCTGTACAGAAACAGTACACATACACTGTTACTATATGAACTAAATTATATTGTATACATTTCCATAACATACCAAAAAAATCTGTTGTTCATAGTAAATTCAAACTAATCCCCACTGAACTTAATCTCACTTGAAGTTCTTTTTCTTTCTTTAAGTATTTCTTTTACTGTGCATATGTACATCTTCATTAGTAACAGGATTTTATGAGTTGATAGGGAATATTTGCATCTCCTTCCAATGGAAAATATGGAATGTGTTAGACTTTTGTTTTCTTTTTGTACAGTGATTATAATTTAGATTGTATGCCTCCTCACGGTTATATTCACGTGCTATCCCTGACTGACAATATAGCAGAATTCAGAAATGCAGTGAATAAACAAAAGATTTCTGGGAATATTGATACACCTGAAGGGGGTTTTGATGCGATGCTCCAAGCAGCTGTGTGCCAGGTAAGGAGCTTATTAACAAAAGACTAAATGGTAGTTCAGACACATATATATATATAAATTGGTACAACAGTGCTCAGTGTTCCTGAATTCAAAATGTCAGTTCTAGGACTGATAATAGTAAGATTTCTTCCTCCTTTTCCATTATTTCCCCTTTAGCTATACATTTCTGTTTCCCATTGAAACTGATAAAGGAGAGCATAAGGAAATATTTTTCAGTATTGGTTAATGATGTTCTTTAACAAGCCTAACCAACATAGGATGGACAAGGAAAGCAACTGCTTCTTGCTTGAACAGGCACATGTATTAATTTCAGCCAATTACAAAATTTGTTTCAAAAATTATTGAAGCCCTCCTTGTGTTCCTAAGTGAAGACATACCATTTGATATTTCTTCTACTTAAGAATGTATTTGAAAACTGAAGGATCAGTTACGTATCTGCTGATGTAGATAAGGAAAACAAATGCACTTCAGTGTTATCTTTTAAAGAATTTAAAAACAATACAAATCAACTAAAAATTAACTTTTGTATATTAATAAAATTTCATCACCATCTCTCCCATGCAGAAAAGGATGGAAAAGATCTGCATCAGTAGTTCCCAAGCTATAAGCATATTAAATAATAAGAATTTGTTTGCTCTAAAGGGCTCTTTTGCATGTTGTTTTTCTTCTATGCATAGTAGTGCAATAGAAATTTTGAAAGTTGCTGATTCATGATTTTTAAAGTTGGCTGATTCATGGGTTTGCTAATGCTCTATAAGATACTCTTTCTGGAGCTCTTAAAGAAAGTAATTCAACTCCTGTCCAAATCACAGGCTAGGTGTGTTTCTCATCTCTTGGGATGATGTCAGGACAATTCTTTTATCTTGTCCATCTTCACATTCTGTTTTGAAGCACTAGAATGAATCAAGGCCAAAAAGGAATCCCAACTGTGTTAAAAATTAATACTTTGGCCCCAATTTTATTTTCACATTTTGATGAGCTGTAAAACAGGTAAATAAAAGCCACTCTTCACAGACACTGTGATCACAGCTGTTATAAAAAATTATTCTGAAGCTTTGGAAAAATTCCTTAAAATCAGTGTTTCTCATTGGACACATTCCACACTTATGACATGTGAGCTCTAGAATAATCTATGCTTCCAAAAACAATAGAATGGAAACATTCATGAGAATGGGGAGGCTTTCCTGCTAACTGAATTGTGAACCAAAATGGATGAGAACAATGTGCAATTCATAACTAGCATCGTGAACTATAATTCATATTAATGTGCACTCCTCTTGTCTACAATAGAACCTTATAACTTGCTCCATCTTGCTTTAACCAATACATCCCTGTTGCAACACTAGCAGGTTAGGACGTGAAGCTTCTTTAAAATTTTGGTTACTGTGACGTACATAGGTAGGAATCTTGAGGTGACAAAGTGAAATGGTGGAGTCCTAGCAGCAAGAAGTTTCTATGGTGCTGGAGGAGAATTTGAGATTATTTAAGATATAACCTGTTTATAAGTAAAACTTAAAATACCCCTTCTTTAGGGGAATGCTGTCTAGGATTGTCTGAGGGGGACTGATGCCTACCATGTAAGCTGGAAAAGATACCGCACCCCTCTGTACTTATTATCCCTACTTTTATGAGATACTCCTTCCCCATTCAGAGCTATCAGAGAATGAGCCTGAGAAGGGAGCTAAATCCCTCTTTGCAAAGCAAAGAAAAGAAAGGTAGAGAATAAGACATGAAGCCTGGCTGAATAAATGAACTGTATTGCAGATACATGTTTCACATGAGAGGAAAGATACCTGGAAGTGTTAAGGGAAATGGTAGAAATGAGACAACGTTGTAGGGAGGAGGAGCAAGAAAGGAGGAAAAAGGAGGAAAAATGGAATTAGTGAAGAAGAACATGGAATAATTGAGCGAGGGAATAATGAAAAAGAATATGAGGTGATTCATGTGTGCCTCTAAAGTTTGATTTAAAGCAGCCGTTTATTCCTTGCAGGGAAATAAATGTTACGGAAATATAAATTGGCACCTAACCCTGTTTAGATATAAGCTTGCCCTGCTACCTCCTTCACATCACTGAATTCCTAAAACACATTAAATTCACCCTTGCGGATGCCACGTTGCTATTTAATCCCTTAGGATGGTGGATAGATGTAGTATTTTGCTGCATAATAAAGAATTACTCAATTTGCAGGTGCATGAAGACACTCAGGCTTTAGTTTATTGGTTAATCATATGCCAATGTCCTTTCTGGAAAGCTGTGTAGGAAAAGGAAATTATAGAATAATGAGAATATAAAGTAAATAAATATAACATAAAAATAGAAGAGGGCACCAAGTACCAATACGAATTAATGCGTATTTGTTGGTTGTAATGCTTTTTGGATCCCCGAGAATTACACAAATGCTATGCATTTGCATTTGTATGTAATAGTGACACACACGATGTGGCAGCTGTTACCCAAGCCCACTATATAATGCGTAACTTGTATATATGTTAGAGAGATCTTTCTTCAAAAAGCAAAGAAAGTGGTAAGTGGATCTCTGACTCGCAGTAGTAGTTTTCAGATGTAGGACATGATATATGTTTCCACACAAAATGCTTTAACTAGCCTGGTTTATACTCAGTGCTGCTAAGCAGTGTAATATCTGAAAGTAGACTTTCACATTCAATTTATTATTTTAGAAAATGGGTAGTTACTGCTTGCTTATGCTTAATTTTGTTTTCTTTTTAGAGCCATATTGGATGGCGCAAAGAAGCAAAGCGACTGCTTCTTGTGATGACAGATCAAACTTCCCATCTGGCCCTTGATAGTAAATTAGCGGGGATCGTAATTCCCCATGATGGAAACTGTCATTTGAAAGATAATGTGTACATCAAAGCTACGAGTATGGTAAGGTATATGTCATACATTCTGCCTTCAGAGAAGCAGTGTAAAACTGCATAAGTGAGGTTTTTAGATTGCTGCCAAAGCATTGCTTTTAATTCAGTTATTAGAATAGTATTTTCCCAGGTAGGCAAGATGTGAAATGAAGAGTCAATCACCGGGAAATATGGACATTGTTTTTGTCTGGGATAAAGTATTTTGGAGTCTGAGACACAGTGGAGGAGTATGTTACTGGGTTTGGTGTTGTTTTTTTATTACCATTTCATAATGATGAGCAATTCTCACATGCATATGTAAGAATTGCATGATCCTGCTAATGAGACAAAGGTAGTGGTCATGCTTTATGATCAGAAGATGCGTAGTTGCACTGATTGAAAAGGCTTGGTAAGAGTAAAACAGAAGACGTACAACAGCGATGAGCTAATTCACCCATAATGGACTAGAAAATATTCTTGTGCCACAAAGCTTTGCTGTGGTAATGTAGCATTAAATACATTTGAATCTCACAGTATAAAACCAATGTGTGGTAACACATACCTGTGCAAAAAGTTGCATCAAATCTACTGTAGCAAAATAATACGCCTTCAGCAGATATTTTAACTTTCAAAATAATTTCTTCAAGAATGTATAAAGTAGTCATGAGTGATTTAAGACAGGCATTTTTTTTCTAAGATTTGTAGTTTTTAATTGCTTTGGCTATTGCCTTAAATAAATATGAATCATTTATTTAAGAAACATGAATCACTACTTAATTGCTGTGTAATCACCAGAAAACAGACATATGAACTGTGGTATCATTAGAGCACATTACAGTTTTATTCTCGGCGCTAGCTGCACTTAGTTAAAGTATATAGCCTGTGTTCAGCCCAAGCCAGCAATGTACTAGTGAAGTCAGTGAGGGCTACGTGTAAATTAGGCTAGACCTGAATTTAATCCCAGCAACTGGTGTTTACAAGGATGGTGGGGCAGCAGGAAGCAGCCACCATATGGTGTGTGATCACGAAATACGGGAGGTTTCTGGGAATTGGTGGGTGTTCAGGACCTTGCTGAGCGGAGGAGGGAGCTGAGCGTGTGCTAACAGGAAGGTTGGTTGGATTTCCGATTATCTGATGTTCTTGCATTCATATACTCCCTCTGTCACCTCTTGGATATTCCCTCACAGATGTCAGGATTATTTATTTCCCTCTAGCCAGTCTGTTCAGTTTCAGTATTCCTACAGTGTCCCTGGGATAAAAACAACCCCTTCCTTTATTCTACTTAAAGCAAATAATCCCGAAACTGTCCTTTCCCAAAGCAGAGCATACTTACAGGTCATGGTGTCCCTATCTCTATTTTTCTTTCTTCCCTCCCCCCACCCACCCCCCCCACCAATGCTACCTTAATGAGAGGGA